CAGCTGCGAAAGACCTTTCTGTCTTTCTTGGGGGGGCTGTTTGGACGAGTCAGCGCACAGCCTGCCCTGGGAGCAGAACGCGTTACCGCGTGCTGGGGTGGGGCGTCAGCACCTGTGTCTCTCCCTGTGCTACCTGCAGTGGAAGTGTGAGCCCGTGAAGTGTGAGGGGAGAGTGTCCCTGTGAGCTACGTGAGAGACAGAACCGCAGGGTGTCCATGCCCTTGCTGAGGACCTCATTGGAGAGGTTCCCGAGGAAGCACCTTCTCTTGGCCCTGGGGACAATGGTGGGTCCGGAAGAAATGCCTAGTGAGGCTCTGATTCCCCATAGACTCCTCACCTCAGGTGGGGTGATTATGTGGGCTGCTTGGAGGGACATCGGGTTTTGGGGATGGAGGGTTACAGAATCTGAGGCCCCGGCCACATTCCAGCCAGGATGTAAGCAGGATTCCCCCAGGCGCCTGCTGCTGCTGCCTCCTTCCAACCAGACGGATGCTGGGATTATCCCATCCGGCTGCTTTGCCCCCAGGGCCCCTCTGTCTCCTGCCCCCACCACTCCTCCCACCTCCCTGAGGCTTGCTCTCATTCCACTGCCTGGGCTTCCTGCTTCTGGACCCCACAGACCCTCGGAGACTCTCAGAAGGAAGGAGACCTGGGCGGACCCAGGCAGTCATCCACACAGTCCAATCTCCCTGGAAACAGGTCCTGCTGCTCACTGACCCTCACTTCCAGAGTGCCCGGAGGGAGACGGGACAGGAGGAGGCAAGAAAGGGAACAGGAGGGAATCATAAAGTCAGAATTCTAGGGCTGGAAGACCATATCCGTCATTTGGCCATGGGACTCTTGAACATTTTGTGGGGTCGTGCCCCCCTTGAGAATCTAATAAAAGTTATGGAACTGTCCTCAGAAAAATGTGCGCACACACACAATTTCAAAGTATTTGTGGAACCCCGAGTCCCACCCAAGCATCCTTGGGAGGCCCCTGGAGTTTTTACTGGTAAGGAAATCGAGACCCAGAAAGGAACGGCGTTTTGCCCAGAGTCCGCGTTGATTTGTGGCAGGGCCTGAAGTGTGGAAATATCAGAGGCTCAGAGCGGCTGGCTGTGGCCTGGGGGGGGAGACACAACACAACACAACACAACACAACACACACACACACACACACACGACAGGGGACTGTTTCCAGGGAGAGCTGGCCTCTGGGGATTGTGAGATGTGCAGGCAAGTCCAATCTGGTTCCCGACAGCTGGTGCCCGGCAGCTGGTGCCCGGGGACATGGGCCGGAGATAAAGCCCGCCCAGCCCCACTGCCCTCCGGCTGCCTGGGACACACTGAGGCTGGGCTGCCGCGGCCGGCAGTGTGGTGGGGGAGGCAGCGCTGGTCTCTGCTCCTCTGCTACACATTGCTCCCCTAAGCCTCATAGTCCCCCCGAGGTGACCTGTGGGGGGCACCATGCTGCTCCTTGCCCTCCTCTTTGGGGTAGCATGGGCACTTACCAACGGGTAAGCATCCCTCTCCAGGGACCCCCCCTGCAACTAAGATTTTGTTCCTCCTGCCTCATGACTGGGACCCTGTGGGACCCCAGACTCCCCTCCCAGCTTCAGCTTCCTCCTCAGCTCACTAACTTCCCTGGGGGTTGGCTCTTTAGGGAGCAGGATCACAGGACAGGGCTTCTTGGTGACAGAGGGGACAGTGGCAGCAGCTGTCATTCTCTCTTCATGAGCAGGCGATGGTGTGAGCAGACGGAGACCATCCTGGTGGAGGAGGAAGTGGCCCCCCGGCAGGAGGACCTGGTGTCCTGCACCAGCCTCTACCATTACCAGCGCCTGGGCTGGCGGCTGGACCTGTCCCGGAGTGGACGCGCGGGGCTCTGTCCCATCTACAGGTGAGTGAGGGTGGGAGCCTGGGCTGGCCGCAGAGCAAGCAAGAAGAGGGCAGGAGCCTGAGAGTTGGGGCGGCCTGGGAGGTGACCTGGAGAAGCAGGCTTTCGGGAAGTAGGTCTGGGCGGGTTCTCAAAGGGCCGGCAGGTGGGAGTGGACACAGCGGTGTGGGCATCCCATGCCTGCTGCCTATGCCTGCCCTCCAGTCAGCCTCCCCAAGTTCATCTTACTTTGCACATGGGGAAATGAAGACCAAGAAGAGCAAGCACACAGTAAAGCCACTCAGAGAGGAGGTGGCCAGATTGAATGACCGTCCCAGGCCATTCCTGGAGGTGAGGCTGGGCTCAACACTAATGTTTCCTCCCTTCTGCTTGCTTGGTGGACCCAGGCCCCCAGAAACCCGGCCCGCTGCATGGAACCGGACGGTGAGGGCTTGCTGCCCAGGCTGGGGGGGCAGCCACTGCACCCTGGGTAAGTACCTGAGGTTAGCCCAGAACTGTGGTTTCGCGGAGGTAGCGGGCTGCCTGGGGAAGGAAGCTGGTCCAGGCTGGAGGATTGGGTCTGCCCCATTTTTCCCCCTCTACCCCCCATAGCCCTTGCAGAAGCCAACGCAGAGGGCCACTGCTTTGCCACGCGGCACTGCCAGCCTGGGACAGGCTCGGCTAATGCTTCTGCAGGAAGCCTGGAGGAATGCTGTGCCCTGCCTTGGGGACAGAGCTGGAGGGATGGCCGCTCCCAGGCCTGCCTCAGCTGCTCCAGCCAACAGCTCCCAGGTGGGCCCCCAGCCTGCCAATAGGCAGAGTCCCGGCTGTCACCTGCTCCCCCCACAGGCACTCCCACATGGAGTTCTTGAGCTCCGAACCTTTCCTCAGGGGTCCGTGCCCCTCCCCTGTCCTTTCAGATGAGTCCCCTCCCTGTTCCTGCCCACCAGAGTGACCGTGCCTGTCCACCTGCGTCCCACCTCCTCCGCCCTCCTCCCCCACACTCAGATGCTCACAGTGGTGCATGTCCTTCAGGTAGCACCCCCTCTCCAGCCCTCCTGCAGCCCATGCCGGGGGCTGTGGCCCAGCTCTGGAGCCAGCGCCCGCGTCCCTCGGCCACCTGTGCCACCTGGTCCGGCTTCCACTACCGCACCTTTGACGGGCGCCACTACCACTTCCTGGGACGCTGCACCTACCTGCTGGCAGGAGCTGCTGATTCCACCTGGGCTGTCCACCTCGAGCCCAGGGGCCATTGTCCCCAGCCTGGGCACTGTCAGCTGGTGAGGGAGGGAGATGGGGATGGACGCAGGGCGGGAGCTGGATGTGGGAGGAAGAGATGCTGACACCTCGTCCACGATGCACTCGCTCCCGCCCCAGGCCCGGGTGATGATGGGACCAGAAGAAGTGGTCATCCGGGGAGGAGATGTCTCTGTGAACGGGCAGCTGGTACCTGACGGGGAGTCTCGGTTGCTCCCTGGTAAGGGACAGTCTGTCCGCCCCCAGGGTGGGGCTCAGAAGGGCAGCAGAGAGCAGCCGGCCACTGACCCCCACTGCTCTTGGGAGGCATTTGGAAATGTGGGAGCCAGCTGAGAAGCCAGAGGTTGTTGACCTAGTCCCCCACCCCACCCCTGCAACTCAATAGTCCCTTCACAGTGTGACCTTGGGCAAGTCCCTCTACTTAACTCCTTAACCTCTCTGAGCCTCGGTTTCCCCACCTGCCTCCCACAGTGCGTTTCATGCTACTAGTTGGGACAGTCCCCTACCAGAACTTTTGTCCTGGTGGGGATGCAGGGAGGGAGGCAGGCATGGGGTTTCGTGTGTATGTGCACTCGCACGTGCACGCGCACGTGTTTTGTAGTTTACTCTCTCAAGAGCACATCCGTTGTGTTCATGAGCTTCTCAGAAAGGGCTGTGATGGGTAACCCGTGGAGTCTGCTTTGAAGACTATAAACTGCAGGCATCTCTAGACCTGCGAGAACCCTCTCCTCCCTTCCCTGGGCAGTCTGAGCCCCGAAGCGATGGTGGGAGGGGCGGCGTGTGACTCCTGCCCCTGCCCAGGGCTGAGCCTGCAGTGGCAAGGCGACTGGCTGGTGCTGGCAGGCGGCCTGGGTGTTGTAGTGCGGCTGGACAGGTCCAGTTCGATCTCCATTTCCGTGGACCATGAGCTCCAGGGACAGACTCGGGGCCTCTGTGGGGTCTACAATGGCCGGCCTGAGGGTAAGTGGGGCGTGGTGAGGTCACTGGTGTGGGAGGGAAGAGGGGACCCAAGGCCTCTGACAGCACCTGTGCCTCGCCCTTCCCCAGATGATTTCTCGGAGCCAGGCGGGGGGCTGGCTGCATTAGCTGCTACCTTTGGGAATTCCTGGAGGCTCCCCGACTCAGAGGTGAGACTGCTGGCCTTGGGGAGCCTGGGGTCCCTTGCTCCCCACCTGCCTGCCCGCTCCCGGCTTCTCTGATGCCTCCAAGCCTCTGCTCTGTTTCCTTCAAGTGATGAGGCCTGGCCCTCTCCCAGATCCTCAGGGAAGGAGAGGCAGGCTCGGGGTCCCATGGGAGCACAGTGTAAGGTGCTGCTCCTGCTGCCTGCGTGAACTGACCACCCAGGGGACACGCTCACTGACCTGGTCACCAAGAAGCTTTGATCGATTAGCTAGTTATCGAACCTCCTGCCTATGGGTTGACAGTGATCTCGGCTCTCCTGCCCCCTACTTGGGCATACTACTTTGCTGCCCACCCCCACCCACCCGCAGCCCCAGGACGTCTGGGCTGCTGGTCATGACAGTGGGGCCTTGAAGCAGCTATGAGGGCAGTGGCCATTTTCCTGGTGTCCTTGTTAATGTGCCTCATTCCTGCCCCTTGACCTGACTCCAATTGTCCCCAGCCTGGGTGTCCGGATGCGGCAGAGGCAGCCCAAGGCTGTGAGGACCCCCTGAGAGGCACAGAGGCAGACACAGAGGCTGGCCAGCTGCGGGCTGAAGCCCAGGATGTGTGCCACCAGCTGCTGGACAGTCCATTCAGGGAATGCCACGCCCAGGTATGGGTGGGGTGGAGGCGGTGTCCGGCCCAGCACTGAAGGGGCCAAAAAGACAGGGTGCTAGGGAGATTCCGGAGGGGGCATTTGGTCCTGCCTCTGGATCGCTTTGGGCTGTTGGTCAAACTGCCCTCCTCTCTGTCCTTGGTATTCTGTCTGGGAAATGAGACAGCTCGTATGCGTGATCTCTGAGGTCCCTTCCAGCTCACATGTGTTTGGTTATAAACCAGGGTGGGATTGAAGAGGAGGGAGGTGCTGGTTAGTGTTGGAAGAGAAGGCTGGTTGGCTGAGGGGCTGGCCCTGCTCCGAAGGTCCCCCCGGCTGAGTACCACGAGGCCTGCCTTTTCGCCTACTGTGCTGGGGCGGCAGCGGGCAGTGGGAGAGACGGCCGGCAGGAGGCTGTGTGCACCACCTTGGCCAGCTACGCCCGGGACTGTGGCAAGCAGGGCATCTACCTGCGCTGGAGGAAGCCCGGCTTCTGCGGTAGGACTCCTGCCTGTCCCTCCAGAACTGGGAATCGACTGAGGGCCCTACTGTGAGCGCTCTGGGGCGGGCGGAGGCCTCCGTCTGATCTCCGGGCGTTTCAGGGGCAGCGGGGTGCGGGGTAGTGGTGAGGGCAGCCCCTGGGCCTCACAGCCCACTCCTGTGCCCGCAGAGCGCCTGTGCCTGGGGGGCCAGTTGTACGCGGACTGCGCCTCAGCCTGCCCGCCCAGCTGCTCCGCAGTGGGTGAGGGAGGGGAGGGCTCCTGCAGGGAAGAGTGCCTGAGTGGCTGCGAGTGCCCGCCGGGCCTCTTCTGGGACGGCGCCCTCTGTGTGCCTGCCTCCCGCTGCCCATGCTACCACCGACGCCAGCGCTACGCCCCCGGGGACGTCGTGCGCCAGCTGTGCAACCCGTGGTGGGTCCGCGGGCCATGCTGGCCCTCTCGCTGGGGTCGCAGGCTGCCCGGTCCCCTCTGACCCGTCCCTTATGCTGTCTCCTCAACCTGCCTCCCCTTATGGAGCCAGTGGCCTGTGACCTCTCCTGGCATAATTGATGGCCTTGCTCAAAGACCTAGAGCTCCATCTCATGACCTTCGAGCACGAGGGTATTGGGGGACGGAAGGTCGTCTCCAGCTCAGTATCCCCGTCTCCTGGGGGGCTGACCCAGATGATGCTCCCCGACCCGGTGTGCCCACAGCGTGTGCCAGGACGGCCGCTGGGTCTGCGCGCAGGCGCCGTGCCCCGCCGAGTGCGCGGTGGGCGGGGACGGACACTACCTCACCTTTGATGGGCGGAGCTTCTTCTTCCGCGGCAGCCCGGGATGCCGCTCCAGCCTGGTGCAGGTGGGCAGAGGACTAACTCTGGGAGCCGGGAAGGGCGAGGGGGACTTGCCAGAGCAGGGGCCCTCCTAGGGCTGCTGTGGAGGATAGGTGACCGTAAGGAAACCTCTAAATAAATCAACGAAACACACACAGTCACCCAGGGGAAGGCTGAGGGAGAATGGATTCCGTAGGGTGGATGGCGCAACAGACCCCCAAAGCCTCCTCTTTGGGTTCTCGCCTCCTCTTTAGGTTTCTGGGAAAGTTCTGCCGTATGCCACCCCACCCCAGGGACACAAGACAAAACTCAACCTCACAGTCCTTTCTCACAGATGAGACAGGCCGGGTTTGTCACAAGCTACTTTGTGCAGTACAACTCCAGGGCCAATAAGGGTCCTCTTTCCTCCCCAGTGTCTCCCAGTGAAATTAGGTGACTTCCAAGTTCAGGCCTACACATGTTCTTACACACGCAGACACAAACAGGCGTGCACACATGACACACTCATACCTGTGCATATAGATTTAGCATGTGTTTAGCGCAGATACACAGACATGAACATATGTACCCACGGGGAGGAAGGGGAGGCATCTCGACCCAACACACAGACATACATACACACACGCACACACGCACGTGCACACATACATTCACACACGCCAACACTGTGAGGGTCAAGTCTCTACTCCACAGAGTCTGGCTGGCTGGAAGGTGGTGGACACCATCCTCCTTTGGGAGGGAGCCGCCTCCAGGTGTGTGCTGCAGGTGTCCTGTAGGACAGATGCGCGTAGGCGTGCCCTGCCCCACCAGCCCACATTTCTCATCATTCACCCCAGGACGTCGCCAAGGGGCAGCTGCTGATTGCGCTGGAGCATGCGGCCTGCGACTCTGGGAGCTGCCTCCACGCCATCTCTGTCTCCCTGGGGGACACCCACGTCCAGCTCAGGGACTCAGGTAGCCTCAGAAATCAGAGTACCTGCCTACCAGGCCTTCTGTTCCCAGTAGCTCTTGGGACCGTGGCTCAGTCCCTTGTGGCCTCCTGAAACTGTGCCTCTGCCTGTGGACTCCGGCTCTGTCCGGCACCTTCGTCCTGTGGTTCCCAAGCCCCAAACCTCCCCTCCGATTCCTGCGGCTGAACTCACTCCTCTATTCCCCTCACCTTCCCATCTCTGAAGCAGACACACGGTCCTGTGGAAATTTTCCAAGGCACCTTTTGCCTCGTCCTGGGGGGAAAATGCAAGGCATATAGTTGTAAAAGGTCGGACAGGCCCCAGGACACAGCCAGGCCAGCAGGCGCCTCCAGCTCTCCTTCCCGGGGTCTGCTCCTGTGCACAGACTCCAAAGGCCAAGCGGGTGCTGAGGGTGGTCCTTAGGCCAGGTGGCGGTGTTCAGGGGGAACGGGCGACTTCCCGGGGGTCACTCAGTGCGGGCGGCCCACTGTGACACGGGCCCTCCTAGCTCCCACCCAAGGTCCTTCCCTCCTCACAGCCTCGTCCTGCCGTGTGCTCTCGCCCGCCCTCATCAGCCCAGCCCTGCCCTGTGGGGCACCCCCATCACTGGTCCCCTCTTCCAGGAGATGTCCTGGCTGATGGGCAGGACGTGGGCCTGCCCTGGAGTGGCTCCGTGGGCCTCAGTGTCTCCCGAGCTTCTTCTACCTTCCTGCTGCTGCGCTGGCCTGGGGCTCAGGTCCTCTGGGGGGTGTCTGACCCTGCAGCCTACATCACCCTGGACCCCCGCTATGCCCACCAGGTGTGCCGAGAGGGAGGGGGGTGGCTGGGTGAGGCCACAGCTGGCCGGGATTTGACCGTCCTACACCCACTTGGGTGGCCCAGGTGCAGGGTCTGTGTGGCACCTTCACCTGGAACCAGCAGGACGACTTCCTGACACCTGCCGGCGACGTGGAGACCAGCATTGCTGCCTTCGTCAGCAAGTTCCAGCTGGCAGGCGAGGGGAGGTGCCCCTCAGAGGACAGCACCCTGCTTCCCCCCTGCAGCGCCCACCCTCAGCGCCACGTTTTTGCAGAAACAGCCTGCGCCGTCCTGCATGGCCCAGCCTTCCAGGTAGCCAGTCGGGGGCACGCCTCCTGTACTCACCTGTAAGATGGGGTCAGTACCTGCCCTGCCCTCCTCCTCGGCTATTGGGAAGGCCCTGTTCCCTGCTGTGCCAGGGCTGCTGAGCACAGGGAGATGGCAGTGGGAACGGGGATGGGGGAATCTCTGGGGCAGGAGCTGACTCATTTTCTCATCTTCCCCCAAGGAATGCCATGGGCTAGTGGACAGGGAGCCGTTCCACCTGCGCTGCTTGGCAGCCGTGTGTGGCTGTGCCTCTGGCAGGGACTGTCTGTGCCCCGTGCTCGCTGCCTATGCCCGACGCTGTGCCCAGGAGGGTGCCTCATCCCCCTGGAGGAACCAGACCCTCTGCCGTGAGTCGGCTCAGCCAGCCGGTCCAGCTCGGAGGGACCCAAGAGCTTTCAGGGGGGTGGGGAGGGCTCCCAAGAGGACCTCTGACCTTGGCAGAGTGCTGGCTTGCCTTCTTTCGGAGGCACAGGGAGTGTGGCATCCTGAGGGGGGACAGAGCAGCAGAGGCTATGCCCTTGACCTGCTTGTGTCTCTATGCTCAGCTGTCCTGTGTCCTGGGGGCCAGGAGTACCAGGAGTGCGCCCCGGTGTGCGGTCGAAGCTGTGGGGAGCCAGAAGACTGTGGGGAGCTGGGCGGCTGTGTGGCTGGTTGTAACTGCCCCTTGGGGCTGCTCTGGGACGCCGAGGGCCAGTGTGTGCCCCCCAGCTTGTGCCCCTGTCAGCTCGGAGCCCGTCGCTATGCCCCTGGCAGTGCCACCATGAAGGACTGCCACCGCTGGTGAGCGCGGCCACCTTTGGGGTGAGGCAGAGAGGTTGGGGGTGAGGAGATGAAGCATAAAGGTCGAGGCTCCTAGCCCTGTGGGTTTTGCACCACACGCATTGGAAATGGCCAGACGCTGATAACTTCTTAGTGTAGAGCACGGCAGAGAAAGCACTTTTGTGTACATTTTCTTATTTAATCTTCCTTGATTTTTATAATAAGTAAAACAGGAAGTGGGAGAATTATTCCCATTTTGCAGACGAGGAGACTGAGGCTCACATGGGCTAAATGACTTGCAGTCATACAGCCTATTCGTGATGAAGGACTAGCACCCAGATCTCTGAACTGCAGTTGAGTGAGGTCCAGAGGCTCAGCCAGGGGTCAGGGAGAAGTACAGGCGAGGTAGGAACCTGCGCAGGTGCGGCCGGTGTCCAAGACTTGGTGGGCGAGGGTGAGACCTCAGTGAAATCCCCTCCTGCCTGGGCTGGGAGGGGGGTTGTTCACTCTCAGAGCCCAGAGAATGGCCTCCTAGCAGCTGGGGCAGGAATGGGTGACAGTGTTTATCCCAGGTCTGGCTGGGTGCTGGGGACAGTCCCCATCCTCGTGCTTGTAACAGCTGGGGTGTTGGGGGAGACGCTCAGGTCTCTGGGTGAATGTTAGGGGCTCAGGAGGCTCTCCCAGGTCAGACCAGGTGCTCGGAGGTGAGGCCGGTCTTGGGCCTTGCTCTTACCCCCTCCTGACCTTGACCTTGGTAGTGTCTGCCAGGAGAGGGGCCTCTGGAACTGCACTGCTCGCCGCTGCGCCCCACAGCGGGCATTCTGCCCAGGTGAGCTTGTCTACGCCCCCGGCGCCTGCCTCCTCACCTGTGACAGTCCAGGGGCTGAGCACACCTGCGCGCCAGGCAGCACAGGGGGCTGTGTCTGCCCTCCGGGCACTGTGTGGCTGGTAAGTCGGGGAAGGGGCTGCATGGGGCCCTGCTCTGCTACCCTGGCTGTCCGAAACAGTGGCCAGAGCATTGTGTCTGACAAGGTGCCTCTTTGTCCCTGGCCTCTGCCCAGGACGAGCGCTGTGTGCCTCCTGAGCTCTGTCCCTGTCGCCATGGTGGACAGTGGTACCCACCCAACGCTACCATCCAGGAGGACTGCAATGTTTGGTACGCCCGGCCGTGTGACCTGTAACCTTCTGACCTTGTGACTCCTGGCTTGGGGGCTAGGGTGATCGATGGGATGGGGGATCCAGATTGGCCTGGGCAAGGGGAGCCCTCCAGGACCACCCCCCGACCCCCGCAAGCTGCAGGTCTGTCTGGAGTTGCTTAGAGCCTGGACCAGCTGCCTCCTCTGCATAGGGCCCTGGCACCCTGTTCTTGTGACTCTGTTTCCCCCTCGTGCCTTCACCCACAGCGTGTGCCGGGGCCGGCAGTGGCACTGCACGGGCCAGCGGTGTGGTGGATGGTGCCAGGCCTCGGGTGCCCCCCATTACGTGACATTTGATGGGCTGGTCCTCACTTTCCCCGGGGCCTGCGAATATCTGCTGGTGCGAGAGGCCAGTGGCCAGTTCACGGTGTCAGCCCAGAACCTGCCCTGCGGGGCCAGCGGCCTCACCTGCACCAAGGCGCTCACCGTGCGACTGCAGAGCACCGTCGTGCACATGCTCAGAGGTGGCTGGCTGTGGCACCGAAGGGTGGCATGGCCGGGTGGGGGTGGGGCACACCGGGCGGCGTCATGGCTCTGCACAGGTGGCCGGGGCGCGGGGTTCCCCATGGCCCCCCGCTGCTTGCATCTGTGCAGTGGAGCTGGTTTCTTGGGTGGGAATCCGCGTTTGGAAAGGCTCTAAGAAATGAAGGCCCAGAGAGGTCTAATGACTTGCCCAAGGTCACATGGCTAGAGAAGCAAGAAGAAGGTTGGAGGGGAGGCTGGGAGGGCCTCACGGGGATTTGGGGGGCCCTCTCCCAAGGCCGAGCCTGATGGCCTCCCTCTTCCTGCGCAGGCCGGGCAGTGACGGTGAATGGGGTGAGCATCACGCCCCCCAAGGTCTACACGGGCCCTGGGCTGAGCCTGCGCCGTGCTGGCCTCTTCCTGCAGCTCGCCACCCGCCTGGGCCTCACGCTGCTCTGGGATGGAGGTCAGGCCCCACCCCCACCCGCTGACCCACGCCTGCCTTACACACCTGGGGGTCGACCTCGCCCCGTACCAGGGGTCGGTGTTCCCATGTTGTGTTTCTGTTCATTACCGAAGCAGTATCTCCTCACCCAGGACACATTTAGAAAATACCAAGTTATAGAGAGAAGGGATGAAAATAAATCTAACATCCCGCCACCCAAACCCAAGCAGTTGGTATTTTAGAAATGGCTGTTAGTGAGAAGTTGAGGGAGAGAGGAATACCCTCACGTGGGAGGGAGCCTGGTCTGTGCCCCGGGCCACCTCTGAGCCTCCGGGCACCGGGGCCTGGTTCCCAGCTGGAATCTGGCCCTCTGGAGACTTCCTGCCTGCCAACCTGGGTTTAGTTAGGGGAGTAGCCCCCCCAGTGCACGCCTTTAGCCCCCAAATGCATATTTCGTCCTTTATTACCACCCATCACCCCTCACCCCCGAACACCAAAAACGGAGGGAACCAGCGTCCGCCCACCTTGGGCGTGGTGCCTGCGGACGTGGTCTGGTCAGGCGGCCTGTGCAACGGAGCCCTTGGTCTGCCCCTGGGCCCGGGCCCTGACGGGGGCCGGCGGGTCCTTCCTCCACGCTCTGCCCGCTGCTGCCCTCGCTGCCCAGGCACCCGGGTGCTGGTGCAGCTGTCTCCGCAGTTCCGAGGCCGTGTGGCCGGGCTGTGTGGGGACTTCGATGGGGACGCCAGCAACGACCTGCGGAGCCGCCAGGGGGTCCTGGAGCCCACCGCCGAGCTGGCCGCCCACTCCTGGCGCCTCAGTCCGCTCTGCCCGGAGCCAGGGGACGTGCCGCACCCCTGCACCGTGAGCACGGGCAGGGGAGGGGGAAGGGAGCGGGGGGGCAGCTGCGGAGAGCTGGGGGTCTGGAGGCTGGGTGCGCGGAGGGGTCCGGCTGCTCCACGGCGCTGTGCCCGCAGGTGAACAGCCGCCGGGCTGCCTGGGCTCGCGCTCGCTGTGGGGTGCTGCTGCAGTCGCTCTTTGCCTGGTGCCACCCAGAGGTGCCCCCGCAGCAGCACTATGAGTGGTGCCTGTACGACGCGTGCGGGTGAGAGGGTGGGCCTGGGCGCAGGGCGGGATGGGCGCGTGGGGGTGGGGAGGGGCCGCTGGGGCTGACCGCCCCCTCCCTCCCACAGCTGTGATTCAGGGGGTGACTGTGAGTGTCTCTGCTCGGCTATTGCCGCCTACGCAGACGAGTGTGCCCGGCACGGGCTCCACGTGCGCTGGCGCAGCCAGGACCTCTGCCGTGAGTGTGCACCGCCCTCGGCCCCTGATGCCCCGTCCCAGCGCCCTCGGCCAGACTCGCCAAGCGTGCCGCCCTGTAGAACCTGCACGTTGCCAACAGCCGCGGGAGGGGCTCCAGCGGGAGTCCCGTCATGCGCCCAGGACCTCCAGTGGTGTCACCTGGGGGCCGGCTCACCTGCTGCCCTTGCGCCTCAGTGACGCGAGCCTCTCTCCTCTCCACTTAGCTCTGCAGTGTGAAGGGGGCCAGGTGTATGAGGCCTGTGGCCCCACGTGTCCCCCCACCTGCCATGACCATGGTCCTGAATCCGGGTGGCATTGCCAGGCCGTCACCTGTGTGGAGGGCTGCTTCTGCCCCGAGGGGACCCTGCTGCACGGTGTGTAGGGTCAGAGTGGGCAGAGGGGAGGAGCACTGCGATGGGGAGGGGGCCTTGAGGCCATAGTGACAAGGCGGGCACAGGGCCGCCTGGCCCTTCGCTCTGAGCCCCACCTCCCCCCTCACCTCAGGAGGAGTCTGCGTGGAGCCGACATCCTGCCCCTGTGAGTCGGGGGGCAGCTTCTTCCCTCCGGGGACCGTGCTGCAGAAGGACTGCGGGAACTGGTGAGTGGGGGGCCTTGGGGGAGCCTGGGGGGGGGGCTGGCCCAGTGCTGCGGCTGACTCCAGGGCGCTGTGCTCAGCACGTGCCAGGAAAGTCGATGGCTTTGTGGGGGCCACGGTACTCGCTGTGAGGAGCTGGCGCCTGGCTGCGCGGAGGGAGAGGCCCCATGTCAGGAAAGTGGGCGCTGTGTGCCCCATGAGTGGCTTTGTGACAACCAGGACGACTGTGGCGATGGCTCAGACGAGGAAGGTGAGTGTCCTCACCTGCGCGTGGCAGTGGCCAAGGGACAAGTCAGTCCTTGGGTGTGTAACTGACGCATGTGACCTGTGGCAGCTTCAGAGCTGCCACTCCCATTAGCTGCTGGGAGTTCTGGTCTTTCTGGGGCGAGGGGCTTCTCTGGGACTCTGTCAGTGGCCTGAGCCTGCCTGCCTGCCCCACTCCAGGCTGTGCCACCCCAGGCTGTGGGGAGGGGCAGATGTCTTGCAGCTCTGGCCGCTGCCTACCCCTGGCCCAGCTCTGCGATGGGCAGGATGACTGTGGAGACGGGACCGATGAGCAGGGCTGCCCGTGCCCCCAGGACTGGGTGGCCTGTGCTGACAGGCGGTGTCTGCCCCCGGCCCTGCTCTGCGACGGGCACCCCGACTGTCCAGATGCTGCTGACGAGGAGTCCTGTCTTGGTGGGTGGTCCCCGTCTGGACTCCAGTGCGCCAGGCACCCCCTCCCGCAAGGCCCATCTTGCGGGCGCCAACCTGCCTGCTTCCCCCTTCCCCAATCCAGGTTCCCACTGGGAAGCTGGCGCCTGTGGGTGTGTGAGCGGGGGCATCCCAAGCGGAATAAGGGGCCGTTCTCTGGGCCCAGCTCCTCCTTTCTCTGGCTGCAGGGCAGGTGAACTGCACCCCTGGGGAGGTGTCCTGCGTGGATGGCACCTGTGTGGGGGCCATCCAGCTGTGCGACGGAATCTGGGACTGCCCAGATGGATCAGATGAGGGGCCTGGGCACTGACCCCTCCCCTCTCTGCCCATCCCCCCAGCTGGCACCTTGCCCAGCCCCTCGGCTGGCTCCTGGGAGACTCCACCAACTCCCCCGGCCAGCGCCAGCCCTGGTGAGTCTCGCGGAGGAAAAGGGGTGAGAGAGCCAGAGCCCCGAGGCCTGGGAGAGGGGCTGGGGGAGCATCTCAGCCGGAGGCTTTGGGGCGGGTGCTGGGCGGGAGGAGCAGGGCACAGACCCAGCCTCCTGGAGCCACCAGAATGAAAGACGTGAATGTGTTCAGGGGGGACGTTCGAGGCCCCCTCTGAGCTGAGGGGCGTCTAGTGGCAATTCTTGGACCGATAGGGCAGCAGGACGCGGGCGCGACTGCACACGGGGAGGGGTTGGAGGTGGCGAGGGCCGGGCTCAGGGCAGGGGCAGGGAGGGCCCGGCCGGCGGGGGGTCCGGGTCAGCGCGCCGGG